AATTCTTAGAGTCATAAAATAAATTAGTGGTTACCAGGGGCTGGTAACCACTAATTTGGGGAAGAGGCAGTTTAGGGGATAATTTTAAAGTTCTAGGCTGGAAGCTGTGGCTCATGCCTGTAATCCCAGCACTTTGGAATGTCTAGCTGGCAGATCACCTGAGGTCATGAGTTCAAGACCAGCCTGGACAACATGGTGAAACCCTGTCTCTACTAAAACTGAAAAAAACTAGCCAGGCATGGTGGTGCGCACCTGTAGTCCCAGCTACTCAGGAGGCTGAGACCAGAGAATCACTTGAACCCAGGAGACAGAGGTTGCAGTGAGCCGAGATCTCACCACTGCACACCAGCCTAGGCAACAGAGTGAGACTCAGACTCAAAAAAAAAAAAAAAAAAAAAAAGTACTGGAATCAGAGATTATGTTTCCATTTGTGAACATACTAAAACCCACTAAATTGTGCACTTTAAAAAGGAAAAATTTGTTATGTGAATTATATATTTCAGTTTCTTACAAGAAAAGATGACGATGGCCTACATCCCACTCCCAGGACAGCACTCAATGTCCCTCACAGGTGCCATAATCTAACGGGTGAGAATGGTCTCACTGCAAGCTTAATTTGTATTTCATTTATTATGAGTGAGAATGAGCTATAAGGCTTTTTTTTCTTGAATGATGTGCTTGGGGTTTCCCCTTTATTCAACTGGTCTGTGGATTTTTTTCTTATTCTTTTTTTTTTTTTTTTTTGCCTGAGTATAAGGCTAAGTAATCATATTCATTCATCCAATGACTATATTCCAGGGGCTTAGGGTTGCCTCATCCTGTTCTAGACAGTGGGATATGGTCATAAACATGACCCAAGGAGTCCTGGGCCTCATGAGGCATAAACGGTCGAGGGGAGACACAAATACTAAACAGGCAAATACACACCAGCCAGCAACAAGTGCTATGGAAAAAACTAGAGCAGGCAGGGAGGGCCAGGAGTGGATGGGGGCGGGAACTCTGCTGGTGATAATATGGGCTGGCTGAAGAAGGCTCCTTGGATGATGTGACTTCTCACCTGCATGAAGCAATCCCAAACCACATAGGGAAGAACTGACCCCAGAGGAAACAGACACTCCAGGCAACAGAAGAAATCTTAGCGTAAGAATCAATTGAGAGGGAGAGAGACCTGGGCAGCTGCGTCCATCTGAGAAGCCGGACACCACGACCGAGGACCAACCAGACTCCAAGGACAGCAGCCAAGACCTGCAACCATCCCCTCACTGCCCCACACCCAAGCCATTGCCAGCTCCCACCTGCTGGCATGCTACCCACTTCCTACATCTGACCATCTGTCTGTCCATCCTCCTTGGCATGATCTCATCCAAGTGGTCATCCGCTCTTCAATGTGGAGTTACAGGGCTCCCACTCCACCCCAGCTAACCATGGTCTTCCGAGTCAGGGTCCTGGGGAAAGAGGGTTCTGTCAGCCTCAGCTTCTGAAAGCACTTCCAAGGCTCCCACAGCTCTAAGAAGGAAGACAGTGCTGGTGATTTGGCCAGCAAGCCCAGCCTCACTCTGGCCCATTCCCATTGCTGTCGGCAGCTCTGCTCCCCTAGGCACAGTGGTGCAGGGTCCTGCCCAGGCTAGCTGCCATCATTGCCAAGATGGGACTGAAATGTCAGTGTCTGCACATGGCTCGGGCCAGCAGGGCATCCTGGCCCCTGGCTGGCTCTGGGGCTTCCTGTTCCCCCTTGCCTGCTGACCAATGCCAGTTCTGTGTCCCTCAGAAGGAACAAGCTGGGAAGGCCAATGGGCAGGATGGGCTGGGCCCCAGAGTGTCCCCCGATCCTCGGAGTCCAAAACAGAGGATGCTCCTGCCCCGACAACTGCCCCCACCCCTCCAACCCCGGCTGATGCCTAATCAGGCAAGGTGCTCCTGCAGGTACTTTCACATGTGTTTAATGTATATTTAAAAGCAAGATGATTCGGTGCCCTCCCTCTGGGAAACCCCCCGACGGAGACAGCACGGTGCTCACAGCAGGGTCTAGTGGCCAGGACCTACCTGTCTCCCACTGAGGGAGCTGGCAAAAGTCCTTCACCTCTCTGAACTTCAGTTTCCTCTTCTAGAAAAAAGTGGTGAGTGACACGTGCCTAAGGGACCGGTGCAGATCACTGTGGGGCACCTCCTCCAGCACGGTGCACCCTTGGCTGAGACACGGTCTCAGGGCTATGAAGAAGTGCTGCCTGGGAGCCAGCTGCCGGGATGCTGGTTTCACTACAGCTGGGGAGAGGAGGGCCGCCCGGAATCGGGGAATGGGGAGAGTACCTGTCATGGGAACTCCTGAGCAGCTACGATGGTTTCCCTGTTGGGGGACACAGAGACCACCTCCCAGGTTCCAGCTGACTCAGGACAGTGTCAATTCCGCCTGCTGTCTGTCATAAGTCACTCTAAGAAAGTGCCCCACCCCACCCAAGTAGACCCGGGCTAGAAACAGATTCCTGGGCTCCGCCCCCAGGCTGACCCAATCAGAGTCTGGGGGCGTGGCTCTGGAGTTGGAATCTTCTGCCAGCCCAAAAGGAACCCAGCACATAGCCAGACTTGAGAACCCCAAGTGTGGGGTGTGCTGAAGGGGAAGAGGGTCAGGCACCCCAGGGGGGTCCCTTCCACGCTCCATTCTTCAGCGGCTCCTTGCTTACATTTGTCCCTCGCCTATTCCCTAGGTCAGGTCAAATGTCAAAGGCACCTGAGGGTCATCGTGGCTCTGCTGTTTTCCCACCTGTCACCTGGTCAATGGCGGCTTCCCAGCTGAAAGAGGCAGAGAGGGCTGGAGGCTGGGGAGCAGTGGTCCTGGGGAACAAGGCTCAATGGACCCAGGCGCTGACCAGCAGCCCTTGAAGCCAGAGACACCTGGGTCGAGGTGGTGATGCGCCAGCAGGAGCAGCCCGAGGCCAGGCACAGGCAGAGGCTCCAGCAGGGAGCCTCACAGCTGAAGGGAATGTATGAGGAGGGGCCTGGGCCTCACTCTACGGAGCACCTCTGAGGTGGCATGGCATGGACGGCAGTACCTATCCCCTTGATGGAGGCCAGGAGGGTGCCAGAAACCCAGAAATCCAGCAGGAAGGGCTGCAGGAAGAGGCCTGCTCTGTGGGCAGGGGCCTCATGGCACTCGTCTGCAACCCCACTTCTGAGACTCAGTTTCCCTTCCTGCCGCAGTCCCAGCATGCAGCACTGATCAGCCAGCAGCAGCCACCTGGAGCCCTCATGAGAAGCACCCCGTGGGTTCCATACCAGGTCCGCAATATTCCCCCAGGATGAGGACTGCGTGCTTCCCACCTGCACTCGCTGCCTCCTGATACACCTGGTAGGGCCCCTCACCATCCTGGGATTTGCACTTCAGCTGGAGCCCCCTAGGAGGCACACAGGCTGGAGCAGGAACAGCATGGCTTCCAGAACACACCCACGCATGCCAGGAAAGGAAAAGCCACACAGATCGATTTACTGCTCCTGCTTTGCCGCTGAGCACAAGGTGTCAGTGTGTGTGATGGACACAGGCCGCTGTGAAAATTGAGATGTCAGCCCAGAGCCCACAGCCAAGCCACCTCACCTCCAGACGCAGTCAGGATGGCACAGTCCTATTAATTGTGCCAGCCCTGAGCAGGCTGTGAAACGTGCTTGTTGAGTGATAGCTGGGGAGCTCACCCTGTCTGAACTGTTGGGAATCTAGGTCGTTGCCTCCACACTCTCTGGCTCACGGGACCCCTATGCTTCTGCCTCCCCGTGCACAGCCACTTCATCTGGCCCAGCAGTGGTGTGGACCAGCCCCCTGACCCTCACAAGTACCAGTTCTCTCCTTGCTGTTGTCAGGTTCAGAGGGGACAGGTGAAGGCACTGTGCCGCAGGGAGTCTCCCCAACAAGGTGGACCGCTGGTGATGCAGGAGCAGCAGACAGGGAGGCCCTGCTGGGTGGTAGTGACACCCAGAGTACATACAGAATGGTGTCGGGCTCCCAGCTGGCCCTGGCCATGGCAAGTGTTGTCAGAGGGTGAGGACGAAGAGGGCACCTGTCACCACTGATGCTGGGATAGCCAAGGGCAGTGACGTGCCTGGGGCAGACCCCGGGAGCAGAGGGGGTTTGGGGGCATAGAGGGCTGACCCAGGCACTCCTCTGTGTGTGCACGGCACTGCCACCTACCCACACTGTGTGCATACACAGTCACACTCCACATTGTGGACACACCTTTAGTTTCAAGGGTGTCAGCAGGTGAGGCATACAGTAAGGCACCCCAGATGGAGCAGAAAGACCAGCAGACCCACCTCTCCACAGCCAGGCCTGGGGTGGTGGGTAGGGGAACCAGGCCAGGAGCCAAGGGCCTGGCCAGGCACTTGGGTTGGAAGGCAGGGAGGAAGAGGTGGGCTGCAGGGCTGTGGGACTCCGCAGCCAGTAGCCTTTACAGTAGGCAGGCCTGCCTGGGAAGGGAGGGCAGGGCATCAAGTCACAGTCAGAGGGCCACCAGGGAGGCCACTGGCATGCTGACCTTCCAGTGGGGCACGGCAGGCCAGGCACACAGCCAGAGGGAGGGAGGGTGGACAGGAGGCCTTGGTCAGCCACGAAGCAGGGCTCAGATCCTGTGTCTGCTCCCTCCTGGTGAATCCTGGGTGGTCAGTGACTCTGCTCAGCCATGGACTCCTGGGAAGGGACAAGACCTGGCTGTGAGGCAGACACAGTGCACTTTCTTTTCCAAAGGTCTGATTTCCCCTCACTGTCCCAAGATCAGGGGCTTTCAGCAGAGGCAGAGGAGCTGATGGCCCAGTGCTGATGGCCTCCACTTGTTGCACCTTTAGATCTGTGTGGTAGGGTGCCAACCCTCCTGCCAAGGGCATGGGTTTCCTTAACAGGCACATATCCTGCAGGCACTGTGGGCCTGGCCCAGAGCTCCACCCGCTGTGGGCTGCACTCTTCCTGCCGGTCCTTCCTGTCCTCTCTACCTATGGGCTCACGGCAGCACCACTAACACCGCCCCCAGGCCATCTACTCTTTCAGGGCCCGGAACTGACACCTTCACACCCAAGTCACAGCAGGTGAAACCCAGCCTCTGGGCCTCAGCTGCGAGCAGGAGGCTGGGTGGGGGCTGGGAGTCCATAAGGCTGTGCTCCCCGAGCAAGTGTCTGTGACCATAGGCAAGGCTGGAAACTGCTGCTGTAACTCAGCGGTAGAACAGGTCTCTGTTGGGTAAGCTCCAAGCAGGGGCTCCTCCTAGGGCCCCCAGAATCCATGACTAAAGGGAGGGAAGAAAGGAGACAGTCCCTTCATGGCACACAAGGAACGACACCAGTGACTCCATGGGGTCTGACATTGGGACCTCCTTGTGCAGCTGGTGGCCCCAGGGCCCACTGGAGGCCCCTCTATACCCACACTCTTGACACACTCAGCTGAGAACGCTGGGGACTTTCCTCCCAGGCAGAGGCTCCTCATTCCCAGACATCTGGAGAGGAAACTGGGAAGCGTGGGGTTTTCAGCACCTCCAGGAAGCCCTGGCCACCGCCTGGTCACTGCCAGGCAGAGTCCAGCCCCACCCAGCCCAGCTCCTCTGGCCGGTGTCTGGCTTGGCTGTAGTGGGAATGCCCAGCAGGAAGGAGAGCAGGATCCAGGAAACCTTCCAAAATCACCACACCGCACGGCCCCGCCCAGGAGCTGGTGTCCTCCAGGCCCCTCACACCACCGGGCCAAGCTGCCCAGCCCCACCCGCCTAGGCTGCCCACTCAGCAGTGCTCCTTCCTACCCTGCCCACTGTCATCTGGGCCTGGATGGCTCCGGGATGTCCTGGACAGTGGAGCAGGCTGAGGTGTAAGAGTTGATCACCATCCTGACCCAGCCCCAGGGCTGCACCCTTGTCCAAAGGCTGGGGACAGCTCCCCCACCTCCTCTTAGGCTGCAAGCTCTGGGTGCAGGCACGCTCCTCACTCCTCATCTCACAGCCCTGCCCAGAGCCTGCACTCGGAGCAGGACAGGAACATCACAGCTCTGCCACATACCCTCTGCAGCCACTGCTCTGAGGAGGTGAGGAGTGCCACTGGCACTTCATAGCAGCACAGACTGAGGCCAGAGACCCGAAGTGTCTGCCCAAGGTCACAGGACAGAGTTGGAACCAAAACCCAGACTCCCACATCAAGGGAATCCTGGAGCCAGGGCTAGGGGTGCTGGGGTGGAAGTAGGCACAGGTAATGTCTCAGGACCACCAGGTGGTAGGTGTGTGGCCGTTCCTGGGCACCGGTCACCCTTGGCTCCTCTGGGAAGACTCTGGGTTGGCTCCCGGCCCTCTCTACCCACTGGCACCCCACTCACCCAGAGGAGAACCAGTCCAAAGTGGGGGCATAGTGTGGTCTAGGCTCCTCCTATGCCCTCCTTCCTCCCCTGGTTGCCAAGCAACGCTAAAGCTGCGCTCCGTGATCAGGGAGGCCCTCTCCACCTGCCTGCTCTCTCCTGCCCTCCAGAGCTGCCTAGAGGGAGCACTGTCCAGGAGGAGGCCCCCAGGGGACCCAGAGTGAACTGACTTCAGGGAGCTCATGCTAATGATTGTCCTGGCCACACTGTGTCCCACATGCCACAGGTGGGGTGAGGACGCTGAGGGGGCCTGGAGTCAGGACAAGGCGGGCTGTGCAGGGGCAGGTGCGGCAGTGCTGCTAGAGGCCTCCCCGGAACACACAGCAACCAGCATCCAGGCAGCCAGTGGAGAGCTTGGTTCTTGATCCAGCTGCGACTGGCTCTGTCCTCCCTGGAGCATGTGCCCAGAAACAGGCAAGGGCTGAGGGGCATGTCACACAGGCAGAAGAACAGGAACAGGAGCCCCAAGGAAAGAAAGGGCTGGTGGGGTAGTAGCAGGGGCTGGGGGAAGCAACGGCCAAGGGAGGAGCGTGAGAAAGTGAGATGCAGCAGGTCAAAGACGCAGACCAGAGTGTCCTCTCCAGGGTCCCTGCCCACACCGTGATGCATGGGGTACCTTTCTTGGCTTCCCAGGGCACCCCACACTCAGTGCAACTCTGGACCTCAGCATCTTCCCCAACACAGGCTCCCACCCCCGGTTCCCTCCAGGCTGGGGCTGAGATGTGTCTGGTGGTCTGGTGTGGACCAGTGCACACCACGGCCAGGCAGCAGTGCCCCCACTGGCAACATCCACACACAGACACAGACGAATCACGAGGTGGCATGAAACCCCAGGTCTGTGTCCCCCAGCTTTCCTGCCATTCCTGGGTCACCGGCATGAGTCCATGTTGGGGCCTGGCACTAGCTGTTCCCCCTACAACCAGAAACCCCCTTCCTCCCTTCAGAGCTTTGCTCGAACCCAGCAGCTGCCCTCATCGTTCCCTCCTGGCACCTCTCCTTCCTTCTCGAGTCGTTAGGCTAATTTCTGTCTATTTTCAGGTTGTATCTACATTTCCAGAGCCTGGGCGGTGCCTGGCGTGCATGGCCTGCAGTGGGTGGGATCATGATGACACATCTCTCCCAGGCCAACTTTCCGCTCTCCAATGGTTCTGCCTGAGTCCATCTCTCAGGGGCGTGTAAGGGTGAGCCGCACCTCAGAGTCTCTCACATGGCTCCAGAGGCCACAGAGATGGGGAGGAGCTGTGAAGCCTGGGTCCACACCCTGGACCAACCACTTTTTGGTTATCAGCACCAGCAGGGCTCTTGACCCCTCCAATCCTTGCTGACACAGTGGTGGCGATTTGCATGCCCGCCCTGGACCCACTTGTGTCTAGATGCCCCTGATCAGGTGGGCAGATGAGGCCTTTCCCAGTGAGTCCCACCAACACAGTGTTTAGTGGGGAAAGAGGAACACAGGTCCTGCCTGGGAGGCAGGATTTTGGGACTGAGCCTGCCTCTGCCTCTGCCACCCCAGGGTGCCTCAGCCCGCCCCTCCTGCACACCTCTGTCCCATCTGAACTGCAGGCAGGTTCCACCAAGTGACATTCTCCTTCCTAGGAGGGTGGGGATGTTCTCAGACCCCGTCATCCCCTGTGCTCCCCCGGACCTCCCCAGGGGGTAGTGACTGCACACAGCGATGGGCAACGGAAGAGTCCAGGGTCCCATCTGTGGCACCCTCCCCGTTTGAAAGGAGGCCTGGGACTCACATTCTCCAGCACTAGCCCTGACGCCGCATTAGGCTGCCCCAACCGTTTTTACACATGCTGTATAATGTCTGGTGGCAGCCAGGGGTTCTCCCCTGGGCTTCCATGCGGGTGCATGGCTGTCCCCACTAGCCGGGGAAAGGTGTGCCCCTAGGACTGACAGACTCATGGGGCCACTGCCTACTCCTCCCACCATCCAGGCAGCCGGTGCTCTGACCAAGGCACACAGCTGCAGCCTGGAGATAGCGGACAGGGAGAGGCAGGGGAGGGCAGCTGGCTGGGCCAGGACATGAGGGCCTCCAGTGTCACCATTACGGAGGCTCACAGACCAGCTAGGCTGGAGCAGGTTTCTGGCGGGCATCTGGGGTGAACTCCTTCCCTACTCAGGATCCCAGACAAAAGCTGCCTCTACACTAGGTGGCTCAGAGCTGTGGGGAGGGGTGCCCTCATGGAGGCCTGCCTGCCCCTGAGCCCCTAGAAGCCTGCACCAGTCAACTCCCCATTGAAAGATGGTGAAACTGAGGCAAGGTTTTGTTTTTAAGTCAACTCTACAGCCTGCATCATCTGAGTAGGTAAGTATGAAGTGTCTCATCTTGAGATGAGGGATTCTGTGAGTGGGAGGCCCCCAAGGCTGGCCTGGCCTATCAGAAGGCCTGAGGTGAGGGGGCTGTGGAGGGTAAAGTCACTCCTCCTAGTGGGGTGGGTGAAGTCTGGCCTCAGTCACCACCTCCCCTGCCCTCTTTCATAGCCAATCTGGTGCCCCACCTCCCTCAGGGCCACATGCCACTCTATGCCTGATGCCAGAAGGGCAAGTGTATTTCCTGGGGGCAAAGCTGCAGGCCACACCAGGCGGCCATCCTCTTGAGAGGAAAAGAGCAGCTCAATTTGGGTGGGCTGCGGGGCACACTGGCAGGGAGCCTTGGACGGCCTGGCAGGCTTGGGGGAGCTGCTGAGCTGCAGGGCTACTGGACGGATGCCCCACAGGAATTGCCTCCATCTCCTCTTTGTGCCACCCACACCCACCATCCACCCACTCAGCAGCCTCTCCATGCCTGGTGGGCTTTCCAGGCAGCCCATGTGCTGCCACCTGATCTGGCCCCCTAGCAAGCTGGAAGAGCTCACTGGGCACATGGCCCTCCTGAGAGCCAGGCCCGGGCAGGACAGCTGGGGGCCAGAGTGGAGAGAGGGCCTCAGCAGGGGCTGATGTGCAGGCCCCAGACTCCCCAGCCAGTGACCCTCACCCTGCACTGCCTTCACTGGCCTGGGGCTGTCCCTGGTCTCTGGTTCCCACATCTCTGGCACATCCAACCTGAGCCCAGGGTTAACAATATGACTGTCAGTCAGTCTCTTCCTGGACAGACAGGCAAAGCTCCTCTGTGCACCACACCAGCACAGCACTTGGTCCTGGGGCCAGCAGCCAGCACAGGGAAGAACTTATGGACACTCACAGTTACCCCAGGAAGACGGACATCCCAGCAGGGTGAAGGTGCTGTCGGACGCAGGAGCAGTCTGGACCTGAGGTTTCATTCTGAGCCCCCCCAGGGACTGGCTGAGAGCCTACAGGCACAGCGAACAGCCTCCTGCCTGGGGGTAGCAGCAGCGTCCCCCTGGGACTTGCAGCTGGGCCCTACCCAGACTCCCTCAGGGCCATTCAGTGGCCATCCACACTTGCAGCCTTCTGCAGAAGACTAGAGCACCAGCAACCAAGGGCTGAGCAGTGCAAGGGCCAGACTCCAACTCCCCTGCCTCAGAGGGAGGCCAGCTGTGGGTCAGTTGACACTCCAGAGTCCCCATGGAGTCAGGCTAGACTTGCACTGCAACTGCACCTCTGTCCAGCCTCCTCTCCTCCCTGCATGGTCATTCCCACATAGATGTCCCTGAGGGTGCACTCGCTCTAAATCCTTCTATCAGAATCCCAAGCCCAGGCACGAAGTCACAGCCATCACAGGCAGGGATGAGATGAGCGGACACAGAACAAGTGCTCAACAACCCAGAGGAGGGGCACCTCCTCCCCTCCAGGAGGTGGAGGTGCTCCCCGCTGAGGCCATCCAGCTGAGCCCCTAGGTGGTAGTGTGCATTCAGGGGGCAAAGGGGCAGGGGAAACCACTCGCAAAGGTGGGAATGGGGATGGCCAGCTCAGGGGCTGGACAGAGGGGCAGGTCAGGGATGGAAGGAAGGCTCAGGGAGATGAAGGGAGGCACCAGAGAAAAACACCATCTGCTCTATAACATGCTTCCTAGCACACGGGAGTGACCTGGCCTCAATTTCTGCCTCCACCCCTCTCTGCAGACCCCAGAGGCTCATCAGCAAAATAAGTATAATGATCCTGATATCAAAAAAGGTGGGTTAAGTCACATGTCGGTGAAACGCCCAGCACAGCCCTTGGACAGCGTCCCAGCATCTGGATGTGAATGAATGTGTACACCCAGAGCCCCTTGCACATGCCTGCACACCACACCCAGGCCTGGGCACGGGCAGGGTGGGCTGGGGGCACTGGCCCACCGGCCTCCCCACACCTGCAGCTCCTTTCTCTCTACTCTGTAGCCTGGGCCCTGCCTGGCACTGGTGCTGCCCTGGAGACCTCTTCCTGTGTCTTCCCCTGACAGTGTCCCCAATAGCCTCCCATAAGACAGCTCTGTACTGGGCACACCCCAGGATGCATCTGGTGTCCTGCCCTGCAGGACTGAGAATGCCATGCTGCCCTGGAGTCCTACCCTAGGCGCTACAGCAAGCCAGAGAGCCACTGTGGAACCCCAGTGCCCACAGGAAGGGCCGGGCAGCTCCCCAGACTGGGACCCCACAGAGAAGCCAGGGTCCGCCCCTCTCTCAGGACCCCAGCAGGAAGACTCCTGTGCCCACGGGAGGCCTGGCCACTGGTCCGCCCCCTCCCACCTTTCCCACTGCAGGAGCCAAGGAAGGCACCTGGGCATGGACTTCTCTTGTACAACTGGGCTCTCCAGACATCAGCAGGGTGTGTAGCCCTCAACAGCCGCAGCCCACAGTGCACAGCATTCTATTTTTATCACAATCCCAAAAACTTCTGATTTCATTGTTTATTTGACCCATCATTTAAACATGCATTTCAAATTTTCTAAATATATGACTCTTTTAGAGTTATCTATTTTGTTATCACTTTCTCTCCTAATTGTGCTATAGTCGGAACACATGGCCTGAATGGCAGTCTCTTTGACATCTGTGCAGGCATCTCTGAGCCAGCGCTGGCTGCACACCAACAAGGCTGTGACCTCAGTTGTGGGCCTTCCCTCCAGGCCCTGCCCATGCAGAAGCATCCTCCCCTTCTTGGAAGTAGTTCTGGCTGCCCTAGCCTTTCCATGAAGAACAGCTGGGACCCCTGGCCACACCTGCCAATGAAGTTTATTGTCAGCCCCTCCTAAGCCCTCCTAACCCTCTCCACCACTACCACTCCCCGCAGGGCAGATGACCTGGTCCAGGTAGCTGCAGGTTACCTCAGAACAGGTGCAACTCACTCCAGCTTGGTCAGGGTGAGCCCAGCTCCCAGAAACACCCAGGCCAGAGAAGGGAGAGGCATGGGGCATGGAAGGCCCTGTCTCCATAGCAGAACCAAGCAGGAAGGGCCCGGCCTGCAGCAGACAGTGTGGGCAGGACGTGGGCTCTCCCAAGTGCCACCGATGCTCACCTGGCTTGGCCTGGCCTGTGGGGGACTCCACTCCTCATCCAGCTACCCACTGCTAACAGCAATAATAAAATGAATAATTGATGAAGCCCCCTCCCTGCTCTGAGTAATTAACTCATGCAAGTATCAGGGCACCCCCAGAACTCCCCGAGCTCCATCCTTGTCCAAGCCCCATCCTCACAACTGGTCCATTCACCCCACCTCTGGCCCGGCCTTCCTTCCCCAGCTCTGAGGGCAGAGGCCTGGGTCCTAGCAACTGGAGTCAACCCTCCTCTCCTCAGCCAGCAAAGCCGGGGCTGCCCAGCTCTCACCCAGAGCCTGTTTCTGCATATTACCTCCATCCAGACCACGGCCCTGGGAAGAGAAGCAGGGCCCAGAGGGCATGCTCAAAGCACCAGCCAGAATGAGGTGGGCACAGAACTAGCCTGCAGAGAAGTCCGGGCAGGAGAAATCTGGGCCTTGGAGTCTGCATCTGTACAGGGACAAAATCCTTACCCTGGTAAGTACCTGGTGCTGTGGCTGGGCATGTCCCCCTGGGCTCCAAGGAGGAGGCCTGCCCCAGTGCCCCAGCTTTGGCTGGGGTCCAGGCCACATCCAGATGCACTCAAGGCTGCCTGATATTCGCATTCATCGGATCTGAGTACTAGAGACCTGGAGAGGCCCATAGGCAGAGACAGTGGGGAAGGGTCTACCAGATTTGAGCAACCTTGGTGGGGGGTGGGGAAACAAGCCCTGCTGATAAACCTTCAGAATACGCCCCCTCTCCTCTACCAGCTCCCAACAGCCTCCTCCACAGAAGCTACTCTTTGTTAACAGTGTTGCCATGGCAACCGGATCCAGAGAGAACTCTCTCTTCAAGGTAGAGTCTGAGGGTGACACTTGGAGAAACAGAAGTAGTGGTGACAACAAACAGGGTGCTGGCCTCCCAGCCCTGCCCCCAGGATTCCTTCCTGGTCCGGGACCTCAGACAGCATCCCCCCAGACACCATCTCTCCAGACTGTCCCAGAGCTCTCAGGTCTGCTCCCCTCTCCTGACCTCTCCCTGGTGTGGGGGCAGCAACGTGGCCCAGGCCAGGCACCTCTGCCCACCACACACAGCAGCTCAGGCACTTCCATGCACCTTCCTGAGGATGTTCGCTGAGTCCGCCAGCACAGCCACTGTCTCATGGCTGGGCTCCAACAGGCCTGGTACAGACTGGTCCAGGGGATCACAGACAAGTACACCCAGGGCAGCTGCTGCACAGCAGCCCCAGGCCCCCAGCACAGCCGGAAGGTTCAGGAAGGCACCCGAGGATGGCTGGGAGCCGCCTGAGGGGAGGGAGTCCCAGCAGAGCCCATGCCCTGAGTGGGAGAAGAGACTGCAGGGGAAGGAGGCCATTACACTGTCCCGGCCACTACACTGGGGTGGCAGCCCAGCCCACAGAGGTTGCAATGAGCAGGGAGACGCAGAAGGGGCAGAAGAGAGGTCTGGAATGGGGTGCCCCAGACTGTCTGACAACTCCAGGCAAAGGGAACCTGGCAGAGGGGACAAGGGAGAGCTGGCTGCCCACTTGCTCAGATGGGGAGCCTGGGGCAGGCAAGGTTCAGGGTCATGATGATGTGCATCGTCACCTGGGAGGCGTCTGGCAGGCTCACAGGCTGACAAAGTCCAGAGGACAGGTCGGGGCCGATGGGAGCTAGAACTGGATCAGCACGGAGGAGGGAACAGACGCTGTGGTGGGGAAGAGGGTTTGAGCCCAGGTCCTGAGGAACAGGGACTCTGAGTGTCCCAGGACATGAGGAGGAGAACCAGGGGCTGACCAAGCCCAGGAGATGGGTGTCTGGCAGCAGGGCAGTCGACGTCCATGGCCTCTCAAAAAGATATCTCTGGACTGCAGGAGGTGTGTGCAGATTGGCGTGGGTGGGAGTGAGTGGGAAGTGAGAATACGGAGTGAGCAGAGAACACGTACATCTTCAAAGTCAGCCCGCACAGGCGACCAGGATGGGGACAGCTGAGCAAGTTTTGTTGCTGTTTTTTAAAAAGGAGAAGCACCTGCCAACCAGGCAGTGACATCTTTGCATCCCACGTGTGAAGTGCCCACCCTGGGCTGTTCTGACTGGAGTCCCAGCCCAGGCGTCTCCTCTTCGAGCTGGTGCTGGCCTCTGCTCCCTGAATTCACAAAGAACCCCACAGCCCACTCACAAGAGACAGGCAGGCCTCGGAGCCCCTGCTGGCTGCCCTGGGCAGCACATGCCCACAGCCTGGCCCCTAGCCCCAGCCTGGGCAGAGCCCAGGGCAAGGCAGGCAACCACAGGTGGGGAGAGGCTTCCCAGGGCAGGATCACTGAGTGTCATTCCGAATCATGCCCAAAGGCACCCATGGGCTTCCTGGGAGGTGCTGCAGCAGAGCTGGGGCTACCTGACTGCTCTCTCCCTGCCTGGCTTCCCTCTCCACAGTCCACCGGGCATAGATGGCCACAGCAGCAGTCACACCCACCCTCCCTCACAGCACAGGCCCTGCTTGGGCCCTTGCACCTACCCACTCCCAGCCGGACACCCCTCATAGCCCCTGTCAGTGCCTGGGGCAGCCTCTGCCAGCCTGTCCCAGGCAGTAAGCCCTGAGGCCTGAGCCCCTCTTGCACTCTGAGCAGGCCAGGACCCCGAGGGGCTTTTGGGCTTCCCTTCACACAGTGCCCACCAAGCCACTGCTGGGCCACACCGGCTGACCTTCCCAAACCCTTTTCCGGGGCTGCTAGCTGGGGAATTCCTGCTGTCCCAGCACACAGGGACATTCTGCATGGGCTCCTGGCAGCTCGCCACTCTGGGCCAATCCAGAGCCCACTCTCACACACCCACAGCCCCAGGCTCTGTGCCCAGAAAAGTGGGCAGTGAGCCCTCTCTGAATCTCCACAGGTCAGGCTGACAGCCATAGGGGAGGAACTCTGACACCCCCAGCAGGTGAGCCCTCCTCTACGGCTGTCAGCCCACCAGTGCCACTTCAGTCCCCTCCCTCCGCACATCACACCCTTGCTAAGTAAACACTCATCCTCCCCAGCAGGGAGTGGGCAGGGGAGGGCAGAGGAGCTGGGAGGCGGGCTGGAGTGGGTGGGAGTTACAGGAGGCAGATTGGAAGCTCCAAGAGAAAAACAGCCAGAGCGCTGGGCCAAAGCAGATGGCCTCAGGAGGAAAAAGGGGAAAGGGAAGGAGGGGCCACCAAGGGGCAGCAGAGAGGGGGAAGATGCCTTAAGTCTCCCTCCCCATCTGCCATGCCCCCAGAGCCCACCCCCAACCCAGGGCCCCTCCTCTGGGGTGGGCCACGCAGAGAAGAGCATCCCTCCACCAGCCCCTCTCCCGAGGACAGTTGGTGGGGACCAAATCTTCTGCCCCCATCCCTGCCTTGGCACAGCACCTTCACTTGACCTATTTGACAAATATGGCTTCTGTGAAACCCACGGTTCTGTGGCTAAAAACCAAAGGCCAACCAAAGCTGTCCCATCTTGCCCCTGGCGTCATTCTACAGGTGGGGACCGGTGTGCTCAGGGGCTCCCAACCACACTGTGTCCCAGTGTCCACTCACTCACCACCCCAGGGGCCCTTCCCACCGCCGGGGGCCACTAGTGTGCGTGGCTCTCCCTACCCCGGCCACTTCCAAGCACAAATGCCATTTCTCCCTCCTCCTCCTCCTCCCCTGACTGCAGTTGCTAAGTTACACCAAAAAACCCCTCTGCTCTGTGTGAACTGTTCCATTTCTACAATTTGCCAGGTGGAAGGGAGCCATCCGGCTGGCAGCTCGAAGATGCCTCCCAGAGAAAAACAAACTCGCTGGCTGGCCTTCAGGCCAAGGCACACCTGGGAAACCTGCTTGGCTCGCAAACCCAGGGGCCTGTGCAGGAGGACAGGGCTTTTCCGCTTCATCAGAGAGCCTGGGGATCCAAGCAGCTTACACCCTTCTCAGAAGCAGGACCTGTGGGCCTGCTGTACTCCCACCTCAGCTGGGCCACTACCACCCACAGCCCTAAGGACACACACTGGCTGGAGGGGCAGAGAACCCACCCACATGTTCCTGGCAACCCAGCTGAGGTCCTTCATGTGACCCCACTCTGAATCTTCCCTTCCTGGGCTGGGGTCCTGAGGTTCCAAAGCAAAGTGCCACTGGACATCAGGGTGGAAATGCCCTCGGAAGTCATCAAAACCATGTCAGTCTACAGATGGGGAAATTGAGTCTCAGAGGCCTGCAGCCTGCCTGTGGTTCACTAATCAAGACCTGTGGCCTCTAGGCTGGAAGCCCCCCAGAGCCCCTTAGACTCCAGGGCCCTGAGATGGACAGGCAAGACTGCATCCGCATGGCAGCAGAGAGCCCTGGGGAGCAGAGGGAACCAAGGCCTCTGGGAGGCTCATCTGCACCCAGCCTGACTCCTGTGTTTCAGGCTCCTGGGACCGATGACCATCGGTGTCCTTCCCGCCCAGGACAGTGGGAGAAGAGTGGTAGTAGTGGGGAGAGTGAACCAGAGGGGAGCTCACTGCTCTGAGCAGAGAGGGAGGGAGCCCCGGCCACCATCAGGTCTCTGCCCCCAGATGGCTCCCAAGAGGCAGGCAGCGGCCTCTCTAAATATCCACCAGGTCCAGCACCCAGAGGCAGCCAGAAATGCAGGGCACAGGGACATGCCAGCGCGTCCCTCCCCACACAGCAGGGGACTCCCGCCCCCACCTCTCACTCATCGACCCTCAGACCAGAACCAGCTGCACCTGCCCCTGTCCCTGCGGCCCGCAAGGCCCAGGTCAAAGAGAGTGTGGTCCTTCAAATGACCCTTGCCCAGCAGGGAGAGGGAGTCACCTGCCACAGCCCTGGCCCTCTCCCCCAAATGCAGAGCTCAAGCCCCAATTCCTCGCCAAACAGCAAGGGCGTGAGATGCCACGGCGGGGCCCAGAATGCCGAAGAGCAAATGGAAACTTCCAACTGCGCAGCCCCGAGCTCCTCCGATTCCCCAGCCCCCTCCCCCACGCCAGGCTCCGGGCAGTGGACCTGCCCGCGGTGCCCATGCCTGCCAGCCGCGTGCGCTCCCGCCACGCCCGGCTCTGCCCGGCCAAGCCCGGCCCGCCCAGTGCAGTGTAGAGGCGGAGGGTGCAGGGGGTCCCGGCGCCGTCCAGCCCGGGGCGGAGTTCTCAGCAACTCCGCGCACCTGGCTCCCCGCCGCCCTCCCCCGCGACCGTCCTCCGCCCCGCGCCCCGGCCCCACGACAGCCGCGCCGGGAGAGACCTCGGGCCCGCGCACGCCCCGCCCTGCCCGCGCCGCGACCGGAGGGCACGGCCCCGGGTGGGGGCGGGGGGGGAACCCCGAGGGACTGAGGGTCCCCGGCCGCTGCCTACCTCGGTCCGGGCCAGCGTCACTCCCGCGCCGCCCTCGCGCCGCAGTCGGGCCCCAAGCAGCGCGCGGCCAGCGCCGGCGGCGGCTCATGCTCGGCGCCAGGGCCCGCGGCACCCGCCCACCCGCGGCCGCCCCCGCGCTGCGCCAGCTGCGGGCAGAGCAGCTCCCTCCGCAGCCGGCGCCGGGGAACGCGAGCGAGCGGGCGAGCGCCGAGCGGGCACGGAGCGGGCGCGAGAGCGCGGGGAGCGGGCGGGCGCGGGGCGCAGTGGGAGGAGGGTGCGGGGCGAAGGTGCAGGGGGCAGGGGGAGGTAGGACGCGGGACGGGGCTCGGGCAGAGGGAGCCGGGACAGGGAGGGCGCCAGTAAAGGGCGGGCCAGGCTTTCATTTAAAAAGGATAAGGCAACAGACAACCTAGGAGGCGATGCGGCCACCGCATTTAAAGGGCCCTCTCGGGACTCCTGCAGAGCTGGCAAAATTATCAGTGGCAGGGGACTATGAAAGCCCTTCCGTGGGCAAGACCTTAACCATCGCATTCGCCGTATAAGGTTGGTGGTTGGTGGTGGGTTTGTTCCCATTGGACAGGTTAGTAAACTGATGCGCAGGGAGTGCGGTGACCCTGCAGGCTCTCAGAGCTGGTAAGTGGCAGAGCAAGGCTCCAAAGCCACCTTAAAAGATTCCAGAACCACTGAAGCAAGACGCAGGTCTTCTGGCATCCAGTGAAACCTCCTGTCGCTCTGAAGAGACACCTTCTGAACGGACACGTTCTGAACGGACACCCTCTGGCCTGACCCCGTGGTGGGGCTAGTGACTCTTGGAAGCAGTCAGACTCAGGCCAGTGTGAAACAAGTATGAGGCCATGAAGCCCCCCAAGTGGAGGGGTCTGTGTGGAAAAATGGAGAGGAGCCCCACAGCACCCCTTGAAGAGGCTGAGGACCTTGCTTACTCACTCAGTCCCTGTGTCTTGAACACCTACTGTAGGCCAGGTGTCAGACGGGGCACTGGGATTCGGCTGGGAATGTCTCTGGTTGGAGTTTGCATTCTTATGGGAAGTGGGCAGTGAATGAAAACACACATAAATAGTTCATGTGTCAGATGCTTCAGATCCCAGAGAGAGGCCCAGCGAAGAGAGGGAGAGAGTGAAGAGAGGGGGAGGGGAGTTTGTAGGGTGGGGAATTTTTTTTTCTTAAGGGGAGGCCTTGCTGTGTGGCCTAGGCTGGAGTGCAGTGGGTATTCACAGGGGCAATCACTATGCTTTACATCCTGAACTTCCTGACTCTAGTGAGCCTCCTGCCTCAGCCTCCTGAGTAGCTAGAACTGTAGCCTCTCATCACCATCCTTCCCTGCTGGATTGGGGATTTTTATTTAGGGTCGTCAGGGAAATCTAGGCTGAAAGGGTTGTATTTGAGCTAAGACCTAAGTGAGGCAAGCCATGCTGAATCTGAAGAATGAATATTTTCAGCAAAAAGAACAGCACATGCAAAGGCCCTGAGGTGGAGGATGCCTTAGAAGGAGGCCGGGTGGAGATGAGCAAGTGTGGTACGAGGAGCCTGCAGGAGCTGCCAGGTGGACCTGATCACGAAGAGCCTAGCCAGCCATCATCCCTCTGTGGCTTTGACTCAGAGGGAGGTGGAGGGTTTTGCAGAGAGTAGTATTATGATCTATTTTTTACAAAAAAAATATGTGGAAGATTTCAAACACTTACAGTAATAATGGCTAAAAAGGTATATACAATAACTCAATGGGCCAACTTCAACCATTATCAATACATGGCAAATTCTGTTTCATCTGTATGCCCACCTACCTTTCCCCCATACTGTTTTTTTGTTTATTCATTTTAAGAAAACTTTTATAGCTTTTTAATTTTTTTGTGAGAGGGTCTCACTCTGTCCCCAGGCTAGAGTGCAGTGGCACAATCATAGCTCGCTGTAGCCTTGAACTCCTGGGCTCAGGCAATCCTCCCGCCTCAGCCTCCCAAGGATAATTTTTTGTTAAGTATAACATACATAGACAAAAATCATAAGATTGTGCTCCATGAATTTTCAATAAGAATACACCCATTCAGTGAGAATATTAATCGCTCTCTGCACTTGGATTTTCACTGTAGAAAAGTTTTTAATGACAGATTCATTTTCTTTAATATGTATCGGACCATGTGGATGATTCACTTCTTCCTATGTAACTTTTTGTAAATTGTGTTTTTATGGATTTTGCCCATTTTTTCTAAGTTTTCAGATTTTCTGACATCCTCATATTCTTGTTCATAACATGGTTATATTATCCCTCAGATGTTTGTAGAATCTGTAGCTGTGTCCCACTTCCATTCTGACATCGGGGACCTTTGTGTTTTTCACTTTCTCTTTTTTTTATCAGTCTTGCTAGGGTTTTGTCAATTTTATAATTTTGTTTTTGAAGAAACAACTTTTGACTTTGTTCAGCTTTCTCTGTTCTTTATATTTCATGAATCTCTGCTCTTAGTTTCGTTGTGTGTAAAGCTCTCCTTTGGGGGAGTACTAACTGTCTTTCTAAACTTCCTTCCTTCTTTCTTTTTAGTTTCTGAAGTTGGAGGCTAGGTTCATTGGTTTTTAGCTTTCTTTCCTACTCTGTGGACTTAAAGCTTTATATCTGCCTGTTAAGCACTGCTTTACTCTCTCACGCAATTTTTTTTTTTTGCCACTATCATTTTGCTCAAGAGACTTTTAAATTTCCATTTGAATTCTCTTTTGGCCCATGACTTATTTGGGAGGACATTCCTTGGTTCCAAATATTAGGGGATTTTCTAGCTACCCTCCTGTTACAGGGTTCCAATTTAATCACATATCAGGCAGAGTATACTCTGTGTGATTTCAATTTTCTGAAACCTGTTCATACATTCTTTATGGCCCAGAATATTTTCTGTTTTGGTAAATGCCCCATGTGCCCTTGAAAAGAGTGAATATTCTGTACATTTCAGTTAGGTTGGTTACTCAAATCCAAATCTTCTATATTGTTAATGAATTGGATCTCATATTCTATCAGTTCCTGAGACAGGTGTCTGAAAATCTCCAGTATGGTCCCAAACTGGAAACAACCCAAAAGTCCTTCAGTGGCTGAATGGATAAACTAATTGTGGTATATCCATACAATAGACGACTACTCAGCAGTAAAAAGGAGCAAGCCATTATTCAATGCAACAACCTGAATAGCTCTCAGGTGCATTATGTTCGGTGAATGAAGTCAGACTCCAAAGGATCTGTCGGACTTTTATATGACATTCTAGAAAAGGCAAAACTGTGGAGATATAGCTCAGTGGCTATGAGGAACTAGTAGTAGGGGAAAGCAAGCGTCGACTAGAGCACTGGGAAACGTTTAGGGACCGTGAAGAATGTCCCTGTATCTTGATTTGTAGTGGCAGTCACATGACTATGCATTTGTCAAGACTTAAAGTAGCTGCACAGCAAAAGGAGTGAATTTTACTGCTTTTCTCTGCTCCGTGCTCGGTTGCTCGGGGGCCAGTACTGGCAGCAGTAGGTGGAAGGAGGAACCAGGATACCGCAAAAGCTGGGAAATGGACTCAGTGACCTTTGAGGATGTGGCTGTGAGGTTTACCCAGAATGAGTGGCCTCTGCTGGATCCTTCCCAAAAGAATCTCTACAGAGATGTGATGCCGGAAACCATCAGGAACCTGAAGTCTATAGGAATAAAATGGAAAGACCAGAACATTGAAGATCATTGCAAAGATTCCAGGAGAAATACAAGAAATCATATGACAGAGAGACTCTATGAATGTAAAGATGGTCAATGTGGAGAAACTTTCAGCCTGATTCCAGATGCTATAATGAACAAGAAGACTTTTCCTGGGATAAAACCATGTGAAAGCTGTGTGTGTGCAGAAGGCAACATGGACCCTTCATCTCTGAATTGCTGCATCAGAGCTGACACTGGACACAAACCATGTAAGTGCCAGGAACATGGAGAGAAGACACATAAACATAAGCAGTGTGTAAAAACCTTCAGCTGTCTCCACTCCTTTCAAACACATGAAAAGCCTCACACTGGAGAGAAAGCCTATGATTGTAAGGAATTGAAAAAAACCTTCATTTCTCTCAAAACTGTTCAGAGACACAGGGTAATGCACAGTGGAGATGGACCTTACACATGTATTTGTGGGAAAGCCTTTGTTACTCTCAGTCTAAATCTCACACATGAAAGATCTCATACTGGACAGAAGCCATATAAATGTAATGAATGTGGGAAGGCCTTTGATTGTCTCAGCCATTTTCATAGACATGAAAGAACACACACCGGGGAGAAGCTGTATGAATGTAAGCAGTGTGGGAAAGCCTTTAATCGTTCCAGTAATATCCGAGCACATGCAAAAATTCACACTGGAGAGAAACTGTATGAATGTAAGCAATGTGGGAAAGCCTTTCATAGTTGGAGTTCCGTTCAAAAACATGCAAAAATTCACACCGGAGAGAAACCGTATGAATGTAAGCAATGTGGGAAAGCCTTTACTCGTCCCAGTTCAATTCAACAACATGCAAGAATTCACAGTGGAGAGAAACCCTATGAATGTAAGCAACGTGGGAAAGCCTTTATTCAGTCCAGTGCCTTTCAAACGCATGTAAGAATTCACACTGGAGAGAAACCTTATCAGTGTAAGCAATGTGGGAAAGGCTTTAGTTTACCCAGCAACGTTCGAATACATGCAAGAATTCACACTGGAGAGAAACCCTATGAATGTAGGCAGTGTGGGAAAGCCTTTTCTTCTCTCAGTTCCTTTCGGTATCATGAAAGGACTCAACACTGGAGAGAAACCCTATGAATGTAAGCAATGTGGAAAAGCCTTTCTTCAATCCAGTTCCATTCAAAAGCATGCAAGAACTCGCACTGGAGAGCAATCCTATGAATATAAGTAATCTGGGAAAGCCTTTAGTTGTTTCAGTTCCATTTGAACACATGCAAGAATTCACATTGGAGGGAAACCATATTAATGTAAGCAATGTGGGGAAACCTTTAGTTGTTCCTGTTCCATTTGAACACATGCAAGAATTGATATTGGAGAGTAACTATATGTATGTAAGCCATGTGGGAAAGCCTTTAGTCTCAGTTCTATTCAAACACATGTAAGAATTCACAGTGGAGAGAAACCCTATGAATGTAAGCAATGCCAAAAAGCCTTTACTTGTTCCCGTTCTGTTTGAACACATGCAAGAATTCACAGTGGAGAGAAACCCTGTGAATGAC